CACCATCATCTACATCCACCGAATCATCACTTAGCACTAATAGAGCTTACCGCACTTTCAAAAGAAAAATCCCAAACCATCCATTTCCAACAAAACCAGGAACAGCACGTGAATATATCAATCATCCAAATCACACTAACACGAAAGAATTTTTAGCAATCACCTTACCTTCATTTCCACAATATACTTTGAACACCCCTACAGATACTAACGATACACGTAGCTTTGTAGATGAACAAGTTTTAATGCCTACACTTCATTGGACATCATATTACCATTTTACTAACCCCCTTTGCCTACCTTTATCTAATACTCACATCGATATAGAACGAAATCAAGATATGCTATATCGACTAACTACACCACTAACACATAGACAATTTACTTACATTGGATATAAAAAATCACTAAAAACATACACTGCACCCCGAGCTAACGAATATACGCTAGAATATTACGATCATAATATCATCCGAACTAACCAAGACCAATTTTTAGATGATGATCGCTTCGCTAACCCACAAATCACAGAAAAATTTTTCATCAAAACACCATATGTTTTCACACTCAACATATTTGATCGCAAATTCGACCACATCATTTCTGAAGCACTAACCGACACACAAGCTTACGAAAGTTTTAAAGAAAGATTTCAATTGTTTTCACTAACCTTTCACTTCCTTGCACCACATGAAAGAGATTTGCACTGCTCACATGACATTATGTTACGCACTAAACAAACCCACACATTTACATATTACCGCTTTATACAAAATCACTTTGACCTACACACTCCATCAAGACAACCACACCATCGTTTTCAATTTCTTAACTCTAAATACACATCACCATTTTTTCTTAACTTCACATATTGCATCAAAGATACTAACTTTCACGGTATTCTTCGCAATTATGATCCCATAACCCAAATGTATATTTTTTGTCCCATCACAAAGACCTTCAACGCAGAAGAATCCAGACCCTTCCTTATCCCACATGAATTTGTTCAACCTATAGAAATCCCTACATTAGAATTCATCCACAACACTAAATATAACCACAAATTATATAATCTCATCCAAAACACACCTTATGATTTTGCAGTTGGCACTGAAGAACTAAAAACCATTAAAGCACTTCAATTGCTTTGGCCACTGCTTCAAACTAAAAACATCATTCGCATATTAGCAAAGTTACTAACAAACTCCGACATAATCCACGACATCTTCCCCCACGGTTTTTTCCCCGACGACTAACAGGTAAGTATAATTTATAAATATACTAATAAAATTAAAAATAAAACACTAACCATTCTTTATCCATGTTTTATTTAGATTTTTAGTCTTCATCTCACGATCATCTGCAAAATACACAAAAGAAAAATAAAAAATAGAAAATTTCTTCAAATTGTTCAAAACTCTAATAATCTTTTGCACCAGCTAAATTAAATAAAATTCATACAAATGTAAATTAATTTATAAATTATTTCCCTAAAAGCAGTAATTCTAATAATGATGAAAATTTGTAACTTAATTTTTCCCCAAAACAAGCAATAAAATTGAAATTCTATGTAGTAAATTAATAAAACGCAAATGCAGTACTAACCTTTTGACATTTTCATTCACTCGCACAAGAATTCTATCCAAACTCGCACAGCTCGCCCACGAAGAATTGTTTAAATAATGAATTTCAGTTTCAAGCTTTCACACTCAACAACTCTAACACACGATAACAAATTTCAAACTTTCCTTTAACCCGGTTGGAAAGGAATTATATACTAAACAAAACTAACCAACGCAGCTTACTAAACAACACAACACATAGAATAACAGCATGACTAAGAAAAGGAAACCAACGGTACCCAAACCGGATTAACCCAGTTTAAAACTGGATAATTTATTCTTTTGAAGACTATTATAAAGTCAAAGAAAGAAATAATAAAACACAAAAAAGTCGAAAGACAAACCCATACCAAAAACAATTTGATTTTTGAAAAAAGGACACAACCAACGAAACATAAGAAAAATCACAATAAACCCAACATAAAACGTTATCACATAACAGGACCTCTCACAGAAACCGCACGAAATCATACTCCCACTCCTGGCCTAACCCACCAGAGAGGACGTCCTGAGCATGCTCTATAGCCGGCCTAACCCACCGCGCTACATCCACGCTTTGTGACCACACTCCTATTTTTAATAAGAGGTACTCAAGGGTGAGTAACTCTTTAAAATAACTGAACTAAAACAGAAAGCTTTTGTGAAAACAACTAACCAAAATCATAACTAAAAACACTAAACTAATAAAAATTTTATAAAATGTAAATTATACCTTGCAGTATATAGATCAGCATACAATATGCCGCCCACAATCACAACTCAAAGGATTTAGAGTACGACTTGACTTCGCAGAAAAGGACTTCATTGAACTAGAACAATGACCACCTCGATGTTCAAGTATACGTACAGATCCGAGTAACCAGGCATCCCCTCCACGCACAATCTCCACGCCATTCCCATACAAGGTCAAACACAAAGAAGTTCTCTACATGAAACGAAAAAACCTGTCATAGCCAACCATTCTGAAATCAGATTTGATTTTGTTGCGAAAACCCAGTCATTGTCATAAGAAGACACAACGATTGAATCTGGAACTTCTCTAACAAGAGAACCCAGACGAAATATGATGTTCACCAAATACCAACGTTCATCATCCATCTTTTGAATTGCAGAAAGACTATTCTAAAAAACTCTGTAAAACCCGGATGGGTGGAACCTGATCTAAACTACATTTTATGATTGGATAATTTAGATATTTTACCACTGTAAAGTATTTAATATTAACCAATCATGATCCATCTAACTAACAACCCACTTATTTGTAAGTGCTGGAATTACTTGTAATTTCAGCACCAGAGAGATTTGAATTTAACTTAGAAATTAGTTGACTCTCCAAGAAGACTTCAGCAACCGCAAGAAACCAGCATACCCTAGATCTATTGAGCCTAGCAGAGACTAGTTAAACACCCTGAGACTAGATAGTATAAGAGTAAGATTAGGATCGGTATTAGACTAAGAAGTTGCACGAATCTATCCGGCCGAAAATAAGATAGCGTGACGAGCAGACGGTGTACCCTATCCGAAATTACTCTATGAGTTAACCACCTCAGTTATAACTCAGAAGTGTGTTTCCTGTTGACACCTTTTGTTGTCATAGTATAAGATATGAATAAATTAAAACTGAACAATTTGTTGCTCTGAAACTGACATTAGGGTAATTCAACTCTGACGCCGGGGCTAAAGAGAAATCAGTTCAGCATACCCATTTCTTGAAACGCTCGAAAGGCTAGCGTAAAATATTTGAGTGCAGCAAAGTATTCAACACACGAAAGCATTCTATACTTAAATATCAAATCGTATTACCTCTAAATTTTTATACCTTCTTTTGTGAACATGATAAGTCGAAAAAAGAAGGAGGCTGACTTGCACTCACTTGCCCAGAACTAGAGTCATCTTGATAGTTTTGGCTCATTTTTTGAATTTTCTACATTTCACAGAAAAAATATGATTATAAGCTTGTTTTTGATTTTGCAACGGTTGCGGTTGATTTTTAACAAATACAACGGTTGCGGAGATTATGTGATTTTTGTACTTTGTAACCACCACCCTTGCAATAGGAGGGGAAATATTTTCAGAGATCTTAAATAAGATTGCAACAATTTTAACTAAATTTTGTTTTAAAATGAAAAAACTAAAATACAAGGTCGTTATTTGATCATTAGTTATTTTTTAAACCACAAAGTGAATTATAAGTGAACCCAAGTGCAAGTCGATAGTTACACAGGTAGCAAATAAGGTTCCAACCAATCTGTTTAACAACAAAAATTAACAAAAACATGATTTCTATGATTGATTAAAACATTACTTCACAATTATGAATAAAGGAGAAAAAAATGTGTTGAAACAAAAAGAGAATTAATTGAGAGTGAATCATTTAAAAGTCGCAATAATAGGCATTAGGACATGCTTGGATCTATTTAGCAAGCCCCCCGCCGCAAACCCCCCCCCCCCCCCCTCCCCTTCAATGATTTGGACTCAGGAATCAATCTCCTCTTGGAATCATTTTTTTGAAAGTTTCAGGAGGGAAAATTTCTAGCGCTAAACTTGGACTGAATTCTTTTGCGCTTTTTAAAAAATTTATCGGAAATAGTGAAAAATAAATGCACGTTTTATAAGCAGGCGAGCTATCCTGCACTCGAAATCATTCAAAAGCCAGCAAGTCATTTAAGTAATATCTCTACAGGACATGAGTTCTTATATTTTGTATTATGATATAGGCTCTTTGGGAGTAAAACACAAAACTTTGAAAAAGAGAGAGCCGCCCCTATATCCGTTTAAGCTTTTCCGCTACTGTTTAAGCTTTTCCGCTTTTTGAACCTTCAAACTAATCCCAAAGATTATTCAAAGAAATTTATCAACAACGTGTTTCAAAGATTAGATCAGCTTTATTTTCATCAAAAATCATTGGCCAAAACTGATTAACAGTTGAACCAGGTATGATACTATAAATATAACATGTATTACCCTCACATGTACGCACTAGATTGCTCAATTTCGTGAGTTTACGCTAAGTAGCCTGGATTAAGGAAAGTTAGTTTACATCAAGCGCTTTTGAGTAAACTAAACTCCAAGAAGATGAAGTTCAAGATTCAAAATCCAGTGCAAAACATTCAACTTATCCGTTGCTAAAATGAGCCAAGAGCAACTGTTTAGTTGATAAAAGATCATTTGAGCCGATACTTTTTCCAGCAATTTTTTTTGTTTCAAACGATTTATTTTAAGTCAAATTGTTGTAATTTGTAGTAGTTCTGTATTTTAATGTTATTTTACGTGAAAAAAATCAATTTTACTCATAAAACTTATTGAATTTTAATTAGTGTTTTTTCATTTCCCAAATATCTTTCTCAGGAATTTACAAACAATGCGCAATGATTCTCTATGAGTCGTCAACTCAGCTTTCCGATAGCACTCGCGGCTGCTCTACTTTTAGCTATAACTCATAACTTTCCATTCTTTCAACTAGCCACAGCCTCCCAAAATCACCCTGAAAACAGTTATTCTGTAAACAGTCCCTTAGAGTTACCTCAAAGCAGCAACAGTTACCCCGAATTCAGTGAAATTGAGACGCGACAGGACAACATGGGGGCATGTGGGAAGAATCCCTGCATGAATGGGGGCAACTGTAATGTGTTGGCGACTGGGGTGGGGGGAGGGAGAGTGTCGAAGGATGAGATGTTTGTGTGCCACTGCATGACTGGCTTCTACGGCAGGAAGTGTGAGAAGGGGTCGGGGGTGTCTCTGAATTGCACAGACACTGAGATGTCGGTGTCAGTTGCACACAGCCTGACAGGTATTTTAACGCCAATTTTTCATCGCACGCGTGGTTCCATGTGGCTCTTTTGTCCAGTTGCCTGGAATGAATTCTATAGAAGGAAAATATTAATTTTTCAGTTCGATATAACAGTTAAATGAAAAAAGCGAGTCCGACTTTTTTTGCAAAATTTATTTTGATTGTTTTTGTAACTATCATTAACTATTTTGATAACTTTAATGTCTTTGGCAAATCCATAGGGTCTCATGGTAAAATAAGATTTGGTTAATGAAAAAAATTGTTATGAATAAATTAAATATTAATAAATTAAATCGTATGACAAACGTTTTTTTAATGAAACAAACAAGCAAGTTTTAAACCATTTTTTTTGCAACAACCAAGCAAATTTTTTGATTAGCAGATTTTTTTTCTTGGCGGTAAACTATTGGTATATTACAGTCGAATGATTAACATCATCAAAAATTTCAGCAACTACAAGCAAAGCAAAAGTGGTTGGAAAAATTTTAGAAACAGCATATACTTTCAGTTTATTTAGTTACATAACCATAGAGCCTTCATAGAGTTCTAAAGACGTGAAAAATATTAGTATTTCATATTATAGAAATTGTATGATTCGAAATTTCACACTCGGTCTGTGTGTCAAAGGGTACGTGACGCTGTTGAAAGAAGATATGTTGTAGCAATTTGGACAAAATAGAGATTAAAAATAGTTCTTCAGCTAATAGCTTGTTGTTCCGACTTTCAAAGAAAGTGACAGAATATTTGTGCTCGTTTTTTTTTCTCCAGACAAATTTCAACTTCTTACTTAGCAATTTTTGTCATTATAAAAAAGATATTTTACCTGTCATTATTTTTTGCATACTTCTTATGGTTAAAAGGCAATCGGAACCTTCAGTGCTTCTTCCTGGTACGGGCAGTATTTAATATTTTTATTTCCAGGTTTCAGTTACCACATCACCCTCGTTAAAAACTTGAAAACATGTGGCTGACAAACTAAAACAGATTTTTTTTTCGCAAAAAAGAGGGGTTGAAAATTTCCAGTTGAAAATTGGGTTAAAAATCAACTTTATGGCTTTTTTGACGACTTTGGCCAAAAAACAAAATCACGATATAAGATGCTTTTGTTGTTAGCAGAAACGTAATTCCAACTAAACAAAAAGTTTCATTGAAAAATTGGTATGGATCCTTTCGTTTGGATCCTTTTGTCACTTCCTTTAGTTTACAGATTGAAAATTAAGTACCATTCATTCTATTTTTTACTGTAATAATCGCCTAAGAACTGTTGTTTTTCTATTTTTTTTCATTTTATTTATGACTAAAGCAGTGAAGTGAGACTTTACATCCTAATGGGTAGAAAAATGATTTACTTCGAAAGAAAGTGTTTGATGATTATAATAATCTTAATAAATTGTTTGCAATATAGATTCCATTCAATAAAAAGTTCACTATTTTTACAACCAATTCAAATATTATCGCAAAACCGCATGGAACATTGAAGCCCGTTTTCACGCGCCTCTTTCTTGTAACGACCTGTGTTGGTTTTTTTTTCTGTATTTAAACAATAAATCATTACGAAAAGTTGAAATGATTCGATGCAAAAAGCTGAAAAGCAAAAAAAGATGGAAGAAAAAAATCAGCAGTATACCTACTCTTGACAGTAAATTTCTTACTATGTAATTTTACTCAAAAAAACTTAATTCAGTCGAAAAAAAAATTAAAACACACCCGAATACAAAATTCCTTTTCATTTTCAATGATCGGAACAATAAATGTAATGACGATGAAAATTGATTACTTAAATCAGAGAAGTTAAGCATGATTTGCTTACTTCATAGGTTTCACATCATGTTAAATCCGCTTCTGCGTGTAAACTATTTTTTTTGTGTTAAACTTGAAGCAACTGAAAAGTGCTGTTGTTTCCCTGTTTCAAAATTAGCTGCTTATTTGATAGCTTTTTCCGTTAAATTCGTTAACACCGATGAAGTGTTAGAAGTAACTTCGATTGCTAGAGAACTAATTGAATGAAGTTTTTTTTACCGCTGTTAAGGTAAAACTGAAATGTTTAAGAACAAATTTTAATAGAAAAAAAACTGGAAAGACATGTTTTCTTGATTTATTGCAATTACTTAATTTTTCTTAGTTTTACGTTCTTAGTCGTATTTTTTTTTTCAATTAATGAGCACAAAAAACTTAACTTAAAAAAGTTGTAGGATCTTCAAGCTTTTTTTGAAAGTCCGCTTCTAAAATGTTTATGTCGATAGCTAGTTTGTTTTCAAAGTACATATGAGCTCATGTGTTTGCAGTTGAAGAGTCGCTGGTGCTGAATGACGGACAGTGTGAGTTGCGGAATGACACGGAGGAGAGGAGCTTCCACCTCCAGTTCCAGTTCTCATCATGCGGCACAATCCAACAGATCAAAGCAGGTACTTGCTCTATTAATGCCAAAGCTAAGACTTGAATACATATCTGTCAATCATTCAATCAAGCTGATCGTGTTTCCATTTTTAATTCTATTTTAACTGAGACGTCTGCAATTGCTAAGTCTGATTTTATTTTACAATCAAACTGTCCTTCAATGATTGTTAACTCGTTATTTAATACCTTTCATGATGCATCTGTCCTGAAAAGAAGTGAAATTATAACTGTTAAAAAGAAGATCAGTCGTGATGGTAAACCCCGTTACTACGATGCCGAATGCGAAAGGGAAAAAAGGAAAAAACGAAAGTTGGAACGCGACGTTAGGAAACATGACACCCCGGAAAACCGTGAAGCGTACCGAGCAAAAGTCGCTTACTACAGATCTGTACTTTCGATAAAACGTAATGATTTCTATACTCTCAATTTTTCTTCTAAGAGTTCGAAAATGATTTTTTATTGCCTTAATGAACTGATGATTCACAAGAATGATACACTCCCTGTGAACTCATCTACTTTCGACCTAGCAAACAGGTTCAACATTTTCTTTAAGAAAAAGGTAATCGACATAGTTGATGAACTGCCTAAAACTAATAGAAGCCTGGATTGCACGTCAAATGATCTAGTCGTATGGTCTGAGTTCGCTAGTATTTTTCCAATAGATCTACTCGACGTATTAGATGAATTACGGACCTCAGAGTCACCTGTGGACATTATTCCTACTCGGTTCTTAAAAGATTTTATTGCGAAGAATATACCCTTTTTTTCAGATCTTTTTAATTGCATTCTCTTATCTGGCGTTTTTCCTGATGTTTTTAAACAAGGAGTCATCAGACCACTTCTAAAACATGGCTTAAACCAAGAAACTATGTCAAGTTATCGCCCGATTACTAATTTGTCAGCTTGTCAAAAATTACTGAAAAGCTTGTACTTTCACAGATGAGTGAACATTTAACCTCAAATTGGCTTTGGCCTCAATTTCAGTCGGCTTACCGTAAAGTTTATTCAACAGAGAGTGGTCTCTTGCTCTGTTCTCATTATATATATTCTAAAATTGATTCGGAAAAGTGTTTTTACGTTGTTCAAATGGATTTTTGTGCTGCGTTTGATACAATTGACCATTCATTGTTATTAAAGGTTCTTGAAAACAAATTTGGTATTGCGCACACAGTTAAAAAATTGTTTGAAACTTATCTTAGTAACCGCTTTGTACAAGTTTTGGTAAATAGTAGTCTGTCAGACAAAATTCAGGTCGAAACTGGAGTCCCACAAGGCTCTGTTTTGGGGCCGATTTTATTCATCCTTTATTTGCAACCTCTTCTTGATTACCTTATTGATAGCAACAATTGCGTACCACTTTTATGCCGATGATTCTCAACTGTTTTTGAAGATTAATCTCATGCAAAATAACAACAAACAAGAAAACATTGAAAAATTATGCTCCCAAATGCACTTAAGTCTTAACAAAAACGATGGAAAAACAGAAGTAGTGTTTTTCGGTAGACAACTGCATCACGATTATTTAAAGCCAGTGAAAATTTTTAATAAAGAAAAGGTTCCTAAATGCTTTACCAAACTTTTGGGGTTCTACCTTGATTACAACATGTCATTTGAGAAGCAAATAAACCATTGTTGCAAGTTATGTTATCTAAAATTGCGTAAATTATATTCCATTCGACGTTTTCTGACTTTAGACCAAAGAAAAATGTTTGTTACTAGCTTTATTCTGTCAAAGCTTGACTATTGCAATGCGTTATATATGAAAGTGAATAAAATTTTACTTATTAAACTACAGAAAGTTCAAAACACTGCCGCCAGGTTTGTTTTAGGTGCTACGAGGAGAACAGCATCAACAAACGAGTTACTGAAGAAATTGCACTGGCTTCCAGTTTACCAAAGAATTAGGTTCAAAATATGCTGCTTTATGTTTCGCGTGTTTCACAATTGGAACTGTGCCGATTATTTATACAACCTTTTCAAAAAGAATTCTGCTTCTGTCAACCCTTCGCGCAGACAAAAGTTTATCCTTCCGAAATGCAGAACAGAATTTACCAAAAAGAGCATTGCCTACCAAGGAGCTGTTATTTGGAACTCACTGCCTGTTCTCTTGACAGATATTATTGATTTTACGCTGTTTAAACGAACCCTGAAAACTGTTTTATTCTGTGAGGCTTTGTGAGCCTTCTACCACTCTTGTGTTCAAGAAAGAGTGGTAAAGCCAATCATCATCATCATCATCATTAATCGAATTAAACGAGACTCTTTTCGAATATAAGCATCTCGGAAACGATTGAATTTTTGAACTTGTAGTTTGTGTTTGGGAATCCGATGATTTTAATTAAAATAATATTAGTGTCTCAAATTATCCCGACTGGATCGGTATAGACTGAAGATTTATATGGTTCGACCCTGATGGTTGTGTAATCTAGGGAAAGAGGTGGTGTACAGACAGGTGATCAACAAGAAGTCGGAAGTGGGCAACACCAACATCATCAGTCGGGAGGGAGAGCTAGCCATCACCAGGGACAGCAGGTACGTCCCAGGAGATGCTAATACATAAAGGTTTTCAATGATCAAGAGTTCTTCAGATTCAATTTTCAAAATTCAATTTGATGGAACCCATGATAACGAATCAAGGGTTTTTTATAACATTAGATTTTTCACTCGACTTTGCAAAACATGGTGATTTTTTATCGTGTTAAATTGTTCGAAAAATTGAAAAGTTATGTGTATTGCAAGATTTTTTGCATCACACGATAATTTGTCGGATAAATTAACAAGATGATTTCTTAATTGTGAGAGCTGGCTGCGAATCAGCGCACTGTTGTTTTTATAAATGAAAGAACATACAAGCAAATGATACCTTTTCTTTTCTATCAGTCTTGATAAGATTCTCTTCTTTACTCTTCTGTTGGGTCTCCTGGTAAGGTTTGAGATTATTCTTTTGTTTTTCTGTTTCTTCTCCTGGCAGGTTTCAAATCACTCTATTCTGTTCATTTGACGCCAAGGGAGTGGCCACAGCCTTCTTCAGATCTCTGCAGGAGGTGCCCCTCAACGCCACCAGCTTCAACACATTCCAGTACAAACTCAGACTCTACAGGTCACCACAGTACAAAGAGTGGTTCAAGTGAGTTGCTCTTTTAAATACAATTTGGTAAAAATGGCATGTTTGATTAGGGACGTAAAAGTTGAAGCTATGGTTGTTTCCGGTCGCCTGTTTGTAGTTTTTTTTTTCGGCAAACCCTGCCAACATTATCTGCCCTAAACTATAACGTATATTTTTTATGCCAAAAAAGCTAATAATAAAAGAAACGGTGCAAACTCTCAGCAATAAAACTAAGCATAAACTCCCAGTTTGTGATCTGCCGTGGTAGGACAAAAACAATTATACATGAAAAAATTGACTTTATTTTGCATCACATCAAGTCCACAAAATTAAAGCTCATACATGTAAGTTGTCATTTTTCTGCTTCTTTCTAGCCAGTCAGATTACCCTGTGGTTGTGACGATTGGGGAGGAGATCTTCTTCGAGGCAGTGCTGGAGACTAAGCAGGGGGGACTGCAACTAGTAGCCAGGACATGCTGGGCTTCCCAAACCAACTCCCCCATCGACCCAGCTAGATACTACTTACAGAGGGATGGGTGAGTATACAGGGTATCCCAGGGGCGGATCTAGGGTTTTATACTCTCAGAACAGTATAAATACCCAAATTGAACAAAAAATTTGCGCCGCAGGCAAATAAAAAAAATGGTCAGAGTAGCCGTTTTTGGGCGTTTTTTTGGAAAAATTTGACCAAAAAACTGGCGCTCTCCTTCAACATTTGTAATTTTTGGCGCCAAATGTGCTTTAGACCATTTTTAGGTTTGGTCGGTTTAATATGAATGTCGTAAATTTATACCAAAGGGAGGACCCTTTTGTTGGTGAGGGGTTCGAATCTGCCTTGTCTTGACTGGTGGTTTCTCTGAGCTCTTCTGGTACCATATAAAGACATAAAAAACCACTCATAAAAAAGACGATACAAGCTGTATTGTTAGCCAATCTCTCATTCGAGATGCTATTGATTTTTTGTCTGAGCTGGCAATATTAGTTTGCAATCAATATCAAAAACAATTTGTTTGATTGTCTCTTCCAGGTGTCCCACAGACCCCACCTTCCGTCGCCTACCCTCCCCCTCGAACAACCCCTACGTGGATAGGTTCTCCTTCGAAGCCTTTCAGCTGGTGGTGGATCAGACTGCTGTGATCTATCTGCACTGTGAACTCTACTCCTGTGATGCCACCAAAGCCACCCCCAATTCCGTCTGCAGCATACCAGGTTAGCAGTCATCATTGCCAGAGTCCACAAATGGGCCGAGAGGAAGGGAGCAGTGGAAACAGGGCGATCACCCCTTTCACATCTCATGTATTCTGGTTGCATTTGGTACTAATTTTTGACTACCATTTCTGGCCCACGAACCCGAGGAAGTTTCGGCGCCAATATATAAAGAGCAGTAATAATACATCGCTGTATTCACAATTTCAAGTAATCGAACTTGCTTTTTTGATCTTCCCAAGCGCCTATGGATCATAATCGATTATACCGCCACTTTATGGCCAGTATCTTTAAAATTACAAAATTATTGATTATATACACTAAAACTGGATCATAATCCTAAATTCGGATCAATCGGTTAGAATGGTTTTTTGAAAAGTTGTTTATGAAATTTAGAATTTTTGTTTTAAGTTTATCTCATTTCCAGTTTAGTGCAGTTGCTACGTATTACCCTTCAAAGTTTCTCACTTTTCGCGTTTTTTTTTAAATTAAATAATGATTTTTTTATATTATAATTTTTCCCACTTTTTTCAAATCTCAATTCTTGACACTTTAATTTTTTTTTTTCATTTTTTTTTTATTTTAACCAAAATTGCCCTTTGCCCAAGCCCCCTCTCACGTTCAAGTAGGGTGGGGGTGTTGGACAAGGGGAAGGGCAATGGTTGAAATGGGTCAATGGTTGACCTCTGCCTCTTCCTACCATCCCCCAGTTTAGTGTGGTAGGATTGGGAGTTGAACGTATTTGAATTTAGAATTTCCTTGCTAATAACAAATGTAAAGGATATAACATACAGATTCTTGCAACATTTGCAAAACTTCTGCAAACAACCGAATTTAGTTTTAAAAATGAAATGGATTATTATCTATTCTAAGGGATTTTTTTTCAACGAAAATCAATTATCAGGTATTATTGTGGCAAAATTAATCGAATTCAGTTTCAGAAACCCATTACAATCGATTAAAATCAAAGTGCGCTCGGTGCTATTAATTTTACAAAATCCCGCGAAAAAATCATGAACTCAAACAAATTGAAATAGATCAATCAAACCAGGCTGCTCGTTCGTAACAGCCCTGAGCTTTTCCTTTGCCCTTTAAAGTATTTCAAGTAGTTTGTTCATCCCCCACACAGTCAAATACCTTGTTATCTTTCTATCATCCAGTACGTGTGGCGACAATTCGTAACAGGCGACAATTCGTAACAAGCGACAATTCGTAAAAGTAGATTAAGCGGGGAACACTGATTCACGCGCAGTATTCCTCTCGTGCCGGGTGTAAGCGCAGTGAAGCGAAGCGGAGCAAGCGTATTCTACTTGCCAATGCCTTGATACGAATTGTCGCTTGTTACGAATCGTCACCTGTTATGAAATTTTGCCTACAGTGTTGCCCTAGTAACGTGTTACTTGGGCCCTTAAGCTTGCTTCAATTCAATTTGGAATGATATCTGAGCCAGATTTTTTTTTGCCGTTGGATTTAAAACTATTAAAACTATTAAAAATCAATGAAAACTAGCGAAACTTTCAATTTTCAAAACTTGACAATTTCGAAAAAATTAATTCAAGTTGTCAAAAAGTTTGGAGAAAAACTGCCCGACCAATTACAACATAGAAAATGAGGCCCTAAAATGATCAATCTGTAGTATAAAGAAGAGTGCCCTTGTCAAGAAAAAACTTGAATTTTTCCAAGTGCTTTTTAAAGTATATAGAGTTGTGAAACTTTGAAAATAATGAGAATTTGAAACGCTTGTTTATTCTTCAGACTTTGCTTTGAAACCTTCTAGTCACACGCTTGTGTAACATATAGTGGTCAAAAGAGTGTCTACCAGGAATTCGTGTCTACAAACTTAAGAACTTAAGTTTGGAACGATTGATCAGCCAGATTGGTTCGCCGCTTAGAAATTCAAAGCACAGAATAAATACGCGTTAATTGCCCCAATTTTGCTAAGCTGTTAACTTTCAGAGCCCATTGTAATTTTTAAAATTTCAATTAAGGTCGTTACAAATAGCAGTAAAAAAATGTTTAAGTCTGACTGCTTAAAAAGTCAAATTTTTCTACCCAGCTCGAATAATCCTTTTTTCGATGTTTAAAAGAATTAGTTTTATGAAAGGTGAAATATTAACGTTGTAATACAATTATTGATTAAATATTGGGCTGAAAATTTGTGCTCTTGCGTAACTGTTCGGGTTTTTGAAGAAAGATTGAAGTTTTTCTGCTGAGTGTTTTCTTCAGAAAAAATTTAGCTAGCCACATATTAGTGGTGTCTTTGTACTATCTGCAAGTATCGACGCTTTTAGTTTAAACTATAAGAAATATAATTTTCAACAGTGATTTTTTGAAAATTTATGATGTTTTGAAAAAAAAAACCAATTAACTAGAGGCCATTTTGTTCTTAACTCATGAGCAGCGATTTAGTCCGGCCGACTCAGAAACTAAAAGCAATCTGATTTAAAGCAAGCTATTTAGAACAATTTATACGTTGCTAGACGCTTATTGTTACGATTTTTGAAGAAAATGAATAAAAAATTTATGCTCGGGTGGTTTTTAATTCACCTGAACCACTTTTTGGGAAGCTAAGGGGGTTTAAAAATGAAAATTTTGGCCAATTTTGTTCAATTAACGCGCGATATAGTTCGTGCTATTAGCGCGTCGAGCAGCAATTTAATCTGTCTTTAAATCGTTCCAAATTCAAATGAAGCATCCTATTGGTCTATTTGCTGCTTTGCTACAGTAATTTATATCATTTTGTACGCTTGTGTAACATATAGTGGTCAAAATAGTGTCTATCAGGAATTCGTGTCTACAAACTTAAGAACTTAAGTTTGGAAAGATTGATCAGCCAGATTAGTTCGCCGCTTAGAAATTCAAAGCACAGAATAAATACGCGTTAATTGCCCCAATTTTGCTAAGCTGTTAATTTTCAGACCCCATTGTATTTTTTAAAATTTCAATTCAGATCGTTACAAATAGCAGTAAAAAAATGTTTAAGTCTGACTGCTTAAAAAGTCAAATTTTTCTACCCAGCTCGAATAATCCTTTTTTCGATGTTTAAAAGAATTAGTTTTATGAAAGGTGAAATATTAACGTTGTAATACAATTATTGATTAAATATTGGGCTGAAAATTTGTGCTCTTGCGTAACTGCTCGGATTTTTGAAGAAAGATTGAAGTTTTTCTGCTGAGTGTTTTCTTCACAAAAATTTTAGCTAGCCACATATTAGTGGTGTCTTTGTACTATCTGCAAGTATCGACGCTTTTAGTTTAAACTATGAAAAATATAATTTTCAACAGTGATTTTTTGAAAATTTATGATGTTTTGAAAAAAAAAAAACCAATTAACTAGAGGCCATTTTGTTCTTAACTCATGAGCAGCGATTTAGTCCGGCCGACTCAGAAACTAAAAGCAATCTGATTTAAAGCAAGCTATTTAGAACAATTTATACGTTGCTAGACGCTTATTGTTACGATTTTTGAAGAAAATGAATAAAAAATTTATGCTCGGGTGGTTTTTAATTCACCTGAACCACTTTTTGGGAAGCTAAGGGGGTTTAAAAATGGAAACTTTGGCCAATTTTGTTCAATTAACGCGCGATATAGTTCGTGCTATTAGCGCGTCGAGCAGCACTTTAATCTGTCTTTAAATCGTTCCAAATTCAAATGAAGCATCCTATTGGTCTATTTGCTGCTTTGCTACAGTAATTTATATCATTTTGTACTTCAAATTGCGTGTAAAGGCGATAATTTGAAAAACTACAATAAAATTCCGTTTTCTTAAATTTCATCATTTTTAAAGTGAGTTTTACTCTATAGACCTTCAAAGGCAATTGGAACATTCAGGGCTTCGCTTTCATCGAGCAGTCTTGTTAAGTCAATTTGTACCTTCTATGGCGATTTAAACCGTATATAAAACCGTTCAAAATTCAAATGAAGCATCTTCTTGGTCTATTTACAGCTTTTTTAATTAGCGACTTATATCTTTTTCTACTTAAAATTGCGTGTGGAGGGGATGATTTAAAAAAAATTCTCAAAAAAATAACTGATTCTATTAAGTTCATCATTTTTAAAGTGTGACTTTACTCTATAGACATTAGAGGGCAGTCGGAAAATTCAGGGATTCGCCCTCATATAAGCAGTCTTGTTGCATCAATTTGTGTTTGGGGTAATGTGGTATAGAAATATGTCTGAAAAAAAAGCTTTTTGTATATATTTTTTGATCTTTGATCAACTTTAAACTTCAGATCTACTTAGCAATCTCACCACACCTTCACGTGGGGTTTAGTCCGGTTTTATTTTAGATGACTGTGACGAGGGCTTAATGGGTATGAGAAGACAGAGGAGGATGATTCGGGAACAAGTCGAGGAAGGAAAGGGGGAGGGGGGATACGAGAGAGTGGTTGTCAGCCAGGGAGGCGCACTAGTGTTCATGCAGCCACAGGGCGGGGACTACGAATCAGGTAAGGGAGGGGAGCATTTTCAAGTTAGAAATTGTCGGTTTAATTGATTGCATATCTAGCAGTAAAAAATATTAGAATAAGCAATTTAAATCTGTTCATTTGTTATCATTATCAGAAATTGATTTCATGCCAAAAACACAGACGAATTCAGTCAGAGTAAAGTAACTAAAAGTTTTTTTGATAGAAATAAGCCCTAGAAATAAGCACTCGCAAACTCGACACTTAGCGGATTCTTATTAACTTTTTACGTTATTATTCTCCGCTCGTCCCATCTAAAGTATACCTATTTTTTTCTTGGATTATGTCTAATGACACTTGCAATACAACTTTGAACTTTTTGAAAATTCAACTAAATCTTGAACTTTCTGTTCTAGGGAGATTTTCTGGCAAGACCTACTACCAACCCAACAATTACAACCACCAATTGCTACCCAATTACAAACCGAAAATTGAAACTAATCCAAAAACGAGTGTGAAAAAAGCCAAATCGTGCGATGGGTTCTTCGGTTGCTTGTTTCTCGGAATCAAAAACTTATTCGAATGAAAAACAACTGTAACGGAAACACTGCCATTTTGCCATTACAACACCAATACACAGGTCAAATTTTTCTTACTTTTTTAACTGAAATTGTTTAGTTAAAGTTAAAAAAAATGCTAAGAGAAATCTTTCAGATTTGAACTTTTCAAAATTTTCAGATTTGATGGATTTCATGGAGTTTTCAAATCAACTCAATAACAAGCAGGGGCGGATTTAGTGCAGAGTAGGGTTGAAAATAGCCTGCGGAAAACATTTTTTTTTTTTTTTTCAATTTTTTTTTTCAAAAATTTGCTTGCGGTACCGGAATTTTTGTCAAAATTCGATCTTTATAAAGTTCTGAGAGCGTTCGGAATATCAATTTGGCCGAATTTAAGCCCCCCTCCCTCTCGAGAACATCCTAGATCCATCCCTGTTAACAAAATAGTGATTCGTGTTTTAGACTTGGATCCGTTTCCTTCTTTTTCGACTGACTCGGGTGACCCGGAGGGGACGTTTCTGCAACTAGTGACTCTGGCAGTCATCATCTCCCTCCTCCTCATCATGACCTGCACTCTGTGCATGTGTATGGTCGGGGTTGTAGTGGTCAAGCTGAAAATACACCAGCTGTTCACGACTGACCAAGAATGAACAATTCACCCAATCAAAACGTCAAAACGTAGTCCTTCAAAAGGAAAAAGAGAAGATATGTATCAACAAAAAAACAAAATCATAACTTAGTCTATTCCTCACTTCAAAATGGATCTCTAAACTGAACAACGTGCAGCAATACAATAATTGGCTTCTACATGTCGAATCAGTACCTTAAGTTTTTCGTGCAGAGGCATTTCACGAATTAAAAACCATGTTTCCTCGAAGCTTTTGATTTTGGAAGTTTCCTCAAAACACAAAATAACTTTCCAAGTCTTATTTTAGATTTCTTACAACTGATAGCAGCTGTGCGTTGAAAAGACAGACCATCTAATTTATTATTAAAGTAACCAAACTGATTTCAATGATTGATTTTGGAACCTTATAAACAAATTTTTGGTGAATAGTATACAAAAAATATGTAATTATTGTTAGGTAATACTCGTCAATTTTTCACCCTGTAATCATAGTGAAACATCAGATCTATTTTTTATAAAATGTGTAAAGTCAGGCCAGATTCTCGACAATTAACTTTTTTCTGTGTGGTTTTTAATAGTTCCTGTGCTGTTTTTAATAAAAAGGACACTCTATTTTTAGTAATTGAAGAAGTCTAGGACTGAATACTTCTAGGACTTTCGATCCCCTGAGGTTAAAGATTTTGAGACGAGCTTTTAGTTATTAAGCTCAGATATATAAAAAAAGAAATCGTATCTGAACAAAAAAAAATAACAAATGAATTATGACTCCACAAAATAACACAAATTGGAATCGAAAAGCAAATGATTTTTTGCTTTAGAAGATTAATGTTTATCAATGGTTTGTCAGACGCGATTGGACTCCAATAAAGTATGCAAGTTTGCTGCACTCTGTGTGCGCACCACTTGTCTTAAGACTTCTATTGCTTCTGTTGCAAAACCTTCTAGCAAATGCGTAAATGATGTATCTGTGCAAATCAGAAACGAGCGAGCATGCTTTTGTGGACACGTATAAGTTCTAGAAGATGGCGTCGAATTACGACCATGCGGGCAATTCATATTAGCGAAATTGACTAAATGGGAGTGCAGTTTTTATATTTTTAGTCAGCTAATTTAGCGTTTCTATTAATCATTCATAAGAGAAAAATATTAGTTTAGGCTAAGGCCTGAAGTTAGCTTTTAAAAACTCCGTTTTTTGTCAACTAACTCTTTGTAACCTTTGATCTTCAAGTCCGAAAATAACACCTCGATCAGCCAAAGTTTGATATTTTTGATGATCTTTAAAAACAGTGGTTAAATCTTGAAAAAAAATCGGTAAACTTGATCTTTCGTACCAAAGAAACTTCAAAAAAAACATCACAGATCCCAGAAGATTTTTCTGAACAACAGAAAATCCGTTTAATTTGAAAAGTTGTTTTTAAGTTTTATACGGAAAAATAACAATTATTCAAATAATTTATAGAGAATTAATCAATTTGTAGAGGCTAAGTTGTTAAAAGTTAAACTAACTCGAAGCCACAAAATTTCGGACTACACTTTAAAGCCAATTTGAAAATTTTTGAAAATTGGACAAAATAATCGAGAATTTTTGATCTCCCCACATGCTTATGTTAACTACAAAGGAATGTAATTAGAGTGTTTTATTACTCTTGCGATAAGCAAGGGTATTAAAATCGGGTAATATACTTTTTTCCTTAAATAACTTTAGGCACAGGAGTCATCTCCCAGATCCTGGACTCATTCATCCACTAGGCCTTTCTATCGCAACAGGGATATTTTGAGCTTCTTAGCATTTCAAATATACGACTCATTTTGTTTTGTTTTTTATTTTCTTTTCTCTTTTCTCGGTTTAATAGGTTTCGGCATAATTTATATCGGTTTACTGGCCCAATATTGCTTCGTTTGATGAGAGAAAAAAACTTCTGTGCTTTTTGTGTGCGTGCGTGTGCTTTATGAGTTTTGAGGGGGGTGAGTCTTAACAATTTTTTATAGTTTTGAAAACTTTCGGTTTTAAGAGACATTTTTGAATTGTTTGCCACCTTTTTGCCACTTGAAATTTTTATAGCATCGCAAGTGGTGTGAAGCTCCGCCTATCTTATGACCGAATATTGTGACCAAATGACTTGCCTCAATTCAAGTGTTCTAAGAATGCAATATAACGCGTTGATTAAACCAAATTGAGCAAACTAGCAAATTTCAAGCCCCGTATCGTTTTGAAAAATAGGTGAAAAATAAAAAAATTACAGGTGAAATATCTTTTTAAACTTGAGCTCAAGAAAACAATATTTTTAAGATGATATACAAAATGTTGTCAAAAATGCTTAGGTAAAAGGTCGTAATTTGACTGAATAAAGAAAACCACCCAAACAATAAAGAATCCGCACTCTATTCAAAAGTTGGAGCAAAACGTATTTTAACGTGGTCTTAATGCAATAAATTATAAAATTTTGCATGGTGAACAAATTAATAATTGTGAACAGATTTGGTCTTCATTTAAATACATCGTAATATCACGCACTTAGACGTTCTAACACAAACAATTATGAAATAGGAAAAATGAAATATTGGGGGTGGGGTATCGGAAAAGAGCCCATTTTTGATTATGCTGACTATTTGAACAGTTCGCAAAAAATGTAAGTTTGAAGTATTAAAAAACAATAATTATATATTTCGAACTTTTTTTTTAAATAATAGTTTCAATTTTTAACGATAAAATGGATATCCTTTGTTTTTGTGCTGCTAGTGAAAAGATACGGATCTGGTACTTTTGATAAAATTGATTTTTCAATCGTTTTCCGTTTTTATCAATATTTCTTTCTTTTGTTTTATGACAAGAAAACTCTTGTGCATAGTTCTTTTTATTTATTTCCATAGATTCCTCAACATTTTCAAACTTGAAAAATTGAAGTTGAATATAGAATAACTACATTATAGAGCTCAGACTGCAGAATAGGAGGCCTAATAAAAGAGGTGAGTTTCAAGATTGCCATAAATGACTATGAATAAATGATCATAGAAACACGCGAGAAATGGCCGGCATCGAAGAAAAGCGAACGCTTGCTCGGTTCGCTGGTTTTTTCTTTGATTGGGATAGTTATACAAGATTTGATGCTAACTTAGATTGTCATCAGTATGATTTTCTGTTAGTTTAGCATCCAATGATAATCATACATATTGCAGACAGCTTTTGACTATTTATCTTACTCAGATTTATTATCTTAGTCTTTGATGCTCGTGCATAGAATGCGCCGATCAGTTTTAGATAGTATATAAAAATTTTAGTACAAGTTTATTTTTTCCTCCCTCAAAAGTTCTGTAGTCCCTAATAAAAACAGAGGTACAGTATTTGGGTTAATTCCACACAGTAAGCATCCTAATGTCTCCTATTTTGATTATACAGCTGTCATAAGTAGTTAAGCTACAAACGTGGGTTCGGATCCTGCGCCTTGCTTTTATTTTTAGGAAATAGACAAGACCAATATTTTAAACTAGTTTTCTCCCGGGACCAAACAAGTAACTTGTACCGCATTTTAGGGCTAGTTAACAACCGGGATCAACAGCATCTTCAGTTGTTATCTGGAAAGTTATAAAACGCATCATCTGGGAAGGATGTATTTTAAACAAGCAACAAGACAGTTTGTATCAGAGTAAAGCCCTGAATGTTTCGACTGCATTTTTTCGGTACTACTACGACAGAGTGGTCACTTGCAAAATAATCAGGTCCCTTGAAAATACGACATCTAGAGCTCTCAAATTCAAAAATTACTATGATTTCGTCATTCTGTAAGATGTTGCAGTATGTTTTCAAACAATTTTTATGTTTTGTTACTTCGTAAATTTTCCCTCTTTACCATTTTTGGGAGGATAATTTTCGAAAAAAACGCCAAAGTTGAGTTTTGATGGCAATTAAGGTTACCCAATTACGTTTCTCAAACTTCAAAAAAAACAGAAGCGAGCGAATTTTTTGATATAAACATTAAATTAATTACAATTTTCAATCTGAAAAGATTCTAACTGAACATACTTTGCAAGATTTTTAAATGAATAATGTTATAGCTTTCAAATTATAACATGCGAAATGATGCGAGACCTGTCAATCATAGTTGCTTTTTCTAGGGACTGCTCTGTCATAGTAGTACCTTTTTGTTACTAGTAGTTTAAATTGAAATCATAAATAACTTTCTTCTAACAATCGAAAATTTGCTTAAATTTTTTTTGGAAAATCATCAAGCCAAACGCTAGCTAAATCACAAAGTGATATACTTCAATTATAGCAAAGCATTAAATAGACCAAAGAGCACGCCTCAATTCAATTTAGAACAATTTCTAAGAACGTATTAAATCTCCGCTTACGCGTGAATAGCACGAAATATATTGCGCGTTAATTGTCCCAAATTGGGCGAATTGGCAATCTTCAAAGCCCATTATTTCAGGAAAAACTATCACAAGCGAACTATCTTTTAAACATTTTTGAGCTCAGGACAACAATTTTTTTAGAATCATATATAAAAGGTCTGTCAAAAATGGCTTGTTAAAAAATTGAAATTTTTCTGGAGAAAAAACCTACCACCAGTCCGCTTCGAAAATAGAAGGAACAATAACATTGGGAGTGTTGCTCAATTTTTGAAGAAAGTGACAAACTATTTCTGATCAGAGAGTGTTTTTTTCATAAATACAGTATTTAATTTTTTTTCATATTCGTTCTTACTAATACAAATCACCTTTTGCTCCAAATTTCAAAAAATTTGATATGCTTTACGTGGTCTGCTTTTATTTAGAACAATATCGCGATCAAAAAATTTTTTTTAAGCAAATGCTTTTACACAAGACAGATATCAACAAAATGATTTCAGCAGCAATAAATTGCTAATATCTAATAATTTTTTATTTTTCATTTTTGCCATGTTTGCCAATTTTGTCTAGTTTATACGCGCCCAGGCGCTTCTATCTTTGATGCTAAAATCGTTATGCGAAATAGTTGTTGTGGGAGAACTATCTCGCACTTAAGGGGTTCCAAACTGAACAGTGGCAGAAAATTTGGTCATACCAATTCTTTTCATATCTTAATAGGAAAGGTTTTGCGTCTGGTAACGCAATATTGGATCGAATCGGTCTGGCACATTTTCAAATAGATGACATCAGATCTAAATTTTTTCATAGCCTATGCCATGCTAAAATGGCGGAAAGGAAATACAATTCTCTTTAATTTTTCCATCTAGGACAAAATTGCGATTTATAAACGTTCATTAACTGACAAGAATGGTTGCTTTCAAAAATTTCCAGATTTGAAATCCAGTGTCAAAATCGTTCAGATTTGAAATAAAAAAATATCTGATTAGTATTGAACTTTTTTTAGCAATTCACTGCAAGCCAGTTTGGTGAGATTAATTTACTCACTTAGAGAACAGTATCAATAATTTGGCACCGTTTTGATGTCAAACTAAGTAAGAAAAATGTATATTGTAGTTTTGGTTTA